TCAAAATGGTAAGGAAGTGCTGCTTTGTTTACGTTTTGTATATCTGTGTTTATCTCGTATATCTTTGTTTCGGTTTCTCCTTTTGAATGACGAATATATACTATTGATAGCTGCTGATATAGACAGTTAATTCCTCTCCAGAATGCGCAGAACGCACGTGTTAGTTTGCCATCGGCTGTAGTCTGTGCGGTGTGTTCGAGCGCAGCTTTTTGGTCCGACGCTGCCGACGCAAAGCGACAACACCGTCGGCTTTCGTCACCGCTAGTTCTTTGAAGTCGGCTTGGTGTGTCCAGGCCATTTAGTGAGTTGTATCAAACTTAAGGCCATAAAAAGTTTTAAATACATTCATTTGACCTATAATTCCTGATAAAGCGGCATTTATGAGTGTGGAGCTGCTTTGTGTACAGCCGTTACCGGGGAAACCGCAATATTTCAGAGCTCCTAAAGCTCCACCTCATGGCAGAGAATGAATTTGCATTTCCAATAAGCCTTTCTTTGTGATTATGGAAAACGTTTTTTTTTTTTTTGGGGGGGCTAGTTAAATTAATTTTCGGGCTACCAGGGATTTTGAAATTGTGCGAGCCCTTTATATAGCAGTGTTTTTGTCATTATTTTACAGCTCTGTTTTTGATTTATTCATCAATCCATCAAATCGCGCATTTTATGTGACATCTGCATTGTAGCTAGCTACTGTAAATTTATTGTCATGACTGGATTCTGGGATTCACTCCGCATCACGGAAATCATAAGGCTTTAACCTTAAGTTATAAATGGGACATAGCTGTATCTGCACGGAGGGATGGTGTTCTGAAATATAGGTAAACATTTTCGATGTTTCCTCTTTTTGCAGCCGCGAACTATGTCGATCCTCGAATGATTTTCAATGGTCGCTTTGTCGCGTCCAGTGTAGACAGACTTTATGCGGCACAGTGTGGCGTGACATGATAACTGTCGCGTCCAGTGTAGACACTGTGTAATGGTTACCTGTTACATTACAGTAAATTAAATTTCACTTACCACATAAACAGAGTAAGGAGAGATGACTGAGGACGATGGCGAATGATTTGCAGATCCTGTGCACCACTGACAAACATCTAATCTTGTAAAATGTGTGGTAAGTACTGCTGCTCCATAGTATAAACAGACGAGCGATCGCGAATCTCAAAAGTGAAAGTGAAACTAAAAAGCCATCGCACATTCAAAAGCAGTTTCAATGGCAGGTATAATAGCGGCTCCCTTGAGGACAAATAAGCGTTTGTCTTTTCTAAATCCAATTTTAACTCATATTTTGACTTCAGATTAGAGATAACGGCCTCTGTCTCTGATGTTGTCTCCGCTGTACGTGTGGGTGGAGCAAGAGAACAGTTAAGTGGAAAGTTGTTGCCTAGGCGCAGGTGAGATCATGCGTCTGTTATTTGCCCGAAGCGTGAATCCTTATAAGGCACGGAAAACAAATAACGATTCCTAACACCGTGTCTACACCGGATGAGTAAGGAGAGATGACTGAGGACGATGGCGAATGATTTGCAGATCCTGTGCACCACTGACAAACATCTAATCTTGTAAAATGTGTGGTAAGTACTGCTGCTCCATAGTATAAACAGACGAGCGATCGCGAATCTCAAAAGTGAAAGTGAAACTAAAAAGCCATCGCACATTCAAAAGCAGTTTCAATGGCAGGTATAATAGCGGCTCCCTGATGCCCGAAATACCCAATGATATAACTGCGAGGGAAAATATTAAAATATACTGTATATTTTCCTCCCATCTCGTATTTATTCCCTTTAGGGGTTCCATATACACGTCATTTTCTTTCCGAACACGGTATTGGGATGCGGGCGGATTGCGGGGGGTATCACGATGCCGGCTCAACATCATGATGTCTATCAGCCATCGGCGATGGACGATGGCATCGTCTATCGGCCCAACCCTAATACGGTATATCGTTACAACCCTACTCCCAAACACTGCACGAAGCCAGGAATTTGAAGATTTTTGGGACTGTGTTCAACAGCCCATCTGGAGTGATCCCGAACGGTTGTTCTGACATCATCAGCCATGTGTGAATTTTACATCTCAGAATTTTTGTGTTTTGAGATTCATTCCCATTGAGTCAGAGGTAAATAATCACAAATTATCTGAATCCTCAGCAACAACGAGGAACAGCACCACAGCAAACTGCTCCAAAACAGCAGAAATGATCACATTATAAGAGATGCTTTTTGACCTTTCATCACTAATAGATAATAGATAATGTATATACATATATATTTGTTGTTGTTGTTTTTTTTTAGCCTTGTAAAGCACTTTGGTCAACACCAGTTGTTTTTAAATGTGCTATACAAATAAACTTGTATTGTATTGTATTGTATAGATCAGATAAACGCGTGTATGAGCTTAAAGAAGCACAGCGAGACGTGGCTGTTGACACGTTTGAACAGTCAATGGTTGGAAAAACATATCAGGTTGCCCCCGACAACCGAATCTCTGCACACAGCCCAGGAGACATAATTAGCAAAGCTAACGGCCGAGCCAATCAAGACATAATAGTGGAACATGACAACACTTACACACACACGCATACACTCCAGATGCCCTCTGTGAATAATCAAACACACATTCACATCGAAAACATCTGAAGTCAAGCATCTCGCTGCATCTAAAAAAGAAACTCTCCAGCAAATATTAGCCCTGATAATGCACAAGCAACAAATCACTTTTGTGCATAACTGACATGAACATTTCTCATATTTGTCAGCTTGGATATCTGACCAGGATATTTAAACGAGGGGTTTTATTGTAGTGATGTTTCTCTCCTCTGCAGACGGTTACGCCTGACCATCACACCGCCCAGAACAATACACAATAACACACACAACGACCTCTGTGTGCGTCTTCTGCTGAGAGAACGAGCGTGAAAGAACGGCCGAGACAGTGACGTCCTGATACAGGAGCTAGAGCACATCTGCCAAAAAGACGCAGAAATGTGTTTTTGACCTTCTATCTGAAACGGAGTTAAAATAATCAGCTCACCTTTTTAGGATCTCAAAGCTGAATAGATGATTGATCCAGTCTCTTCAGTGTCACATGATCCTTCAGAAATTATTCTAATATGCAGATATAGCGCCCAATTATTATTTGTGCTCAGTTATTAATAATGGTTCTTATTATTATCAGTGTTGAAAACGGTTTTCTTTTGGATGATTCATTTTTCAGGATTCTTTGATGAATAGAAAGTTTAAAAGCTTGTTTTAAATCAAAATCTTTTGTAACATTATAAATGTCTTTACTGTCACATCTGATTAATTTAACATTTTGAATGTTAACTTTTGAATGGCAGTATATAACAATTTCCACAAAAATATGAAGCAGCACAACTGTTTTGAACATTGACGATAATCAGAAATGTTTGTTGAACAGCTAATCAGCATATCAGAATAATTTCTGAAGGATCATGTGATCATGTGAAGACTGGAGTAATGATGCTGAAAATTCAGCTTTGATCATAGAAATAAAATGCAATTTAAAAAAAATGCATTTGGTTCTTTTGTCAACTGCAATGTGATACACCAAAAAATGACATGGCTGACATTGATCTTGACATATTAAATTGAAGAATTAACATAAGTGCTGCTGAACCCTCCAGAATGTCTTAATTCATAGCCTTCTACTACATGCATCACTGTAAACACAAACTGAGGGACGATTTGAAATTATTTTCAGCAGCAATCGAGTGCATTCCATTAAAAATAAATTACTGATACATTACTGACACCACTAGGGCTGGGTATCGAGTTCGATACTTTTTAGGCACCGACCGAAATGCCTCGGTACCATTGAGTATCGAAAAACGTCTCGTCGTTCGGTACCAAATTTCGATACCTAAGGGGTTAATCTCATCAGCGTCAGTGAGCCAATAAGCCTGCAGCACTAGCCGGTGTGTTCGACTAGAAGAGGTGCGGCGCAGATCAATCAGTGTTTGACATCCACGAGAGCAATTCGAAAGCGCAAAAGCTATAATAATAATAATGAGTGTGTCACATGAGCAGAACAAAGCTTTTGTTGGGTCTGACAGCGGTGGTCTAGGATAGAGATGAGAAACCCTCCACCGGGCAGAGATGAGACGGACGGGACACAACCCTCTCTCCGCTCCTCATCCTCACGGATGGATCAATATCGCTCTCTTTTCTCTAATCCAATCTACTGTTGAACACCAGTTTCACATTTGTAACCTGATCATCAGAGATCAGCTGCATTACAATCACATACAGACAAAATTACCCTCAAAAATAGACAGAGCCATAAAATTGATAGACATTCGGCAAAAACTAAAGCAGTCAAAATAGAGAGCTAATAAAGAGAGAACAACTAAAACATCACAATTTTGTAATGATGCTGAAAGCAACTACATGGGTCAATCTCCCAAAACCTGTCAAGAAGACCCCAGACATATTTCACCACAGCTTTAAAAGAGAGTCGTGAGAAATTACATGCTGATTATGGAAAATACGTTTTTTTAGGACTATTAATATTTTGTGCGTTGGGACACTGTTTTCATGACAATTAAGCACATTTAACCCCATAACCTCTTTTAAACAAATCTAATTCTCATTACTATAAAGGGAAAGAATAACTATACCAAATTACATTTTTCATCATGGCAGTACTGCTTTGATTTACGTTGGTTTAAAAAAAAAATACAGATTCATTACAGCAAAAATAATCTAATAAATTACGATCAAATTAATATAAATATAATAAAATAATGGACTTAAAATAGGATTTATTAAGCGCTAACGTTATCTATCTATCTATATCTATCTAACGTTATCTATCTATCTATCTATCTCTCTCTCTCTCTATATATATATATAATGTATATAATTAATACATAACATGAATTTATGCCCAACTTACATCAACAACATTTCTATGTTTTATCAAAGAGTAAATGAACAATAAATAATATTATTTAATAAAAATATAAGTTACATATTTACCTTTTCCACGTTTTCCACGGTGAAGTCTGCGGCTGTGTCCGGATCCATCGCTGTGTTTACTATAACACACAGCTCCTCTCGCTCTCTTGACCACAATCTATCGCCTAACGCCTTATAGGAATACTGCTGATTAATATAATTGTAATAATAACCACTGATTAATCTCTGAGGTGAATTTGATTCGGCTCGGCGCGCGATCAGGCCGGTGCGCGCGAGCTCATGTCTCTCAATCTCATATTTCACTCATGATAAAAACCCCTTTCGTATCTCAGATGACCGATAAATATGACCATATGTCACAAATATGTGTCCGCGGGTTTCTGTGCGGCCCCGGCGATCCGGTGTGCATGTGTCCTCCCTCTCCGGTTCTTGTCGGTCTGAAACCGATGAATCGATGATTCGACACGCGCTGCACGTGCCCAACCCTCTGCCTTCACTAAAAACAGAAAAACACTATTTCCAGTTAAAATATGTTTCAGTATTATTATTTTTTATTCGTTTTATATGTATGTGTTAAAAAACATTAATAATTTAATGGCGAATTTGCTATGTTGATTGAATGCAGGTATGTTGGTTTTCCTTTTATCAAATTAATTTTAATAAATAGCTCAGGTCTGATTTCTGATATTAAGATTTTAAACCGTTTTAAACCTGCAAAATCGTGCTGCTTTCATATGACAATTAGATCACTTGACTTTATTGTGACGTTCATTTTTAATCAGGCTAAATTTTAATGGCCCTGTAAACGGTCCTTAGCGCTGCATTGTGGGTAATGTCGTTTTTTAAATAACTGGTGTTCATATGCGGTGTCACAGCGACTCTTGGTGGTACTTTTGAAATTTTGCATGGGTTTCGGCTTCTGTAAGTGTATATATAGGTGGAGCGCTCGCTCTTACATATACATTTACACTATACATATATTTTGTTTTATATAAATGAAAAAATTAAAATATATAAAATCTAATATATATATCTCTACGCTCATTCACGTAATTTACTGTCTTGTAATTCAAGTAAATTTAGAAATTTATATTTTTGCGTACTCTGTATTTTTACACACACTCATCCAAAGTACATGGAAAAAAATCTCTATGAGCTTTGTAGAAAAACAGCTAGAAAAACGCGTCTCGAGACCATACGCTCGATCCAGCTGTTGCCCCGCCCACCGCGTCGACCGGAGCGCGCGGGGATCCTCAACTCTTTGGGTCCGCAGTGAATGATCTCTTCCAGACACTTCTGATCATTTGACTGGATTCTGTCACGCCGTAAAAACACACTGGCATCTAAGTTCATCTCTGTCCGTCGATCCAGAGGCGTTTGTTACACACACACACTGGACTTTTGTGTCGGTTTTTACGTCTGAAGAAAGAAATAACTATTTTAGCTTTATTTTAGGTTGAAGTTAGTTTGCATCTTTTATTCATATGAAGGATATGGGCAGATGTGGAAATGTTGCGTTTTGTGCGATGGTGCTCTTCTACTGTTCTTTCATTACAGGTAAAAAATCTTTATCTATCTATCTATCTATCTATCTATCGTTCTATCTGTCGTGAAGTCAAACAGAATTAGGCCTAATAGCCATTTTGAAATGTATTTTTCAGGCTTTAAGACACTGTTTGTTTGTTCTCAGTTTGTTTCTGCTGCCACGCGTATCCTGGGCAGTCAAACAATGGTTGTGTCTCAAAACCTAGCGAACTACCTACCTTTCACGACTTTATGGATGCCCAAAAACTGCTTAATGTAGTACGGAGGATACTCGAAAATGCTTTCTGGGTAGGGAGCTCACTATGTTTCGAGACACAGCCTTGTATCTTGCGGTGAAGAGACATTATTCTCATGCTGAACTCCAACCACAGCCTAAAAGTGGATTCTGGAGAAGACTAATCGTATAAACACAAACTTAAGCTTGTTTTTAAGTTATGAATTAGACGTTTGCATTTTATTTTGATTTTGCAGCCTACTTATATTCAGCTTTGTGTTCAAAACTGTAAAAGATTACATTGTGAGAAGCTCACTAATATTTAATTCTGATTTTCAAAAAATTTATTATTCCATTCTGAAACATGCATACACACACGTTTATGCTCATATGAGGGTGGAAATGCAAGAAATCCATCTCTCTATCCCAGCACTGGCACAGAGAGCATAATGGGAATGCTTTCAAACCACACTCACTGTCTCTCAATCCCAGAATGCTTTCATTTCTTAGCCAGTGTTTGTAATTAGGAGTCATGCAGCGGTGTATTTTTACCATATTTAAATTGGATTTTATTCTAGAAGGCCTGCTCTTGTGAAGTTAAGAACGGCCTGTACATTTCTCTGAATTTGACTGAGCGAGAGCGAGATTGTTCAGGACACACTGCTGAACAATCGTGGGGTATTTTTAGAGTGTTTCTGTTGCTTGTCATCTTTGCATGACGTCCTGTTCCTCTCACTTTCATCTAGGAACTTTTTTAACTCTTCTATTTTTACATCTTGTACAAAAGCACTTGTTACTTTTATTCCTGCTCTTATTTTGCACAATTCATAAGTGCACTACATTCCAAAAAGAAAATAATTGTCTCGCTGCTCTTCTAATATATGTCCAGTTAACCCTTTAATTTAGTGCATTAAATGATTTAATAAAAATAATTCAATATATACGAATGATTGCAGATGTATAAAATGATGCATTTGAAATAGCCTAGAAGCATCACTTCCAAGCTGGAGGTGTTCCACGCTGAAAACAAAAATTGGTGTAGGATTTACTTCGAAACGATTTTCACTCAGAAATTGCTGGTAAATTTCACAGAAAATTAGAAAAAAATGGAAATAACACATTTGATTAAACATTACACTTTGAAGTAGAACAATTAAAATAGCAGTATCTTGTAAAATGTACTCCAATAACCTTCGAAAAATCATTTTTTATAGTGTACCCGCAGTTATGAGCTCCACAGACACAGTTTCATATCAAACAAAAGCTTTGCATAAAGATGAGATTTGCAGATGAGAGGTGAGAAAACCTGCAAGTAGATGTGAGAAACATGAAAGAGGAGAGCAGGTGAGAAACATGATGGCATACTGGGTGAAAATTATTAGTGGTGTTTGCCACAAAGTCAAGTATCATTATTACTACACTGTAAAAAATGATTTTATGATGTTGTAAATAAAACCGAGATTATTGGAGTGTTTTTACATTTAATTCATTGTGTGTCATTTATTTGTGAGTTTCACCATCAAATTTTTTTCAGTGTACACCAATTTTCTTTCAAAAGTGTTTAAGTTGCTGTTTTGGAAAGTTATTTCGATGCATCAGATTGTTGCTTCTAATTCACATTTTTAAAGGAATCTTCCAGGTTTCATTTGTGCAGCATTTCTGGCGTAATGTCCAGTGCTACAGGAAATAATTTTGACTTTTGCATCTAAATAAAGAAATAATTGTGGGTACAGCAACACACTTGAAATGAAAGTACACAAGGAAACACAGTGAACATTACAAGACTAAAACATTACATTACATCACATCCAGTAGGTCCAAAGTTACAAGCATGTAATCATGCTAAATGATGCATGACTTAAGAATCCAAACAGGAACTACGTCGTTATACGAAGAATAACTGGAAGCTGAAAATGATTTAGATGATATTACAGTTCAAATAACAGTTTTGCACTGAAGAATTAATACAAGCACTTTAAGAAAAACATTCTTATAAAACATAAAACTGTCTGTGTTTACTTCCATTATAAGTGTCTTACCGATTTACATTTTCGCTGAGTATGTCAGCATTAATGGGCAATATGTAGAATTTAAAGGAACAGTTCACCCACAAATGAAAATGTCCTGAAAATATACTCACTCTCAGGCCATCCAAGATGTAGGTGTGTTTGTTTCTTCATCTGAACAGATTTGGAAAATTGTAGCATTAAATCACTTGCTCACCAATGGATCCTATGCAGTGAATGGGTGCCGTCAGAATGAGTCTAATTACTTGTGGATTATTGTGATGTTTTTATCATCTGTTTGGACTCTTATTCTGACGGCACCCATTCACTGCAGAGGAAGTGATGGAATGCTGAATTACTCCAAATCCGTTCCCATGAAGAAACTATTTTGGATTGCCTGAGTGTGAGCAAATTTCTAATTTTGGGTGAACTACTCTTTTAACTTATATTGAACTAGTAAATGTTCCTTTAAAGAGGTCTGATGTTAACAAAATGAAGTCGTGTGCAACGCTGCGCCGTCCTCTTATATAATGAGCTGTAGCTCACACACAGGAAGATGTGTGTCTTGAGACAAATAAACAGACAAACTAAAAGGAGAGAGAGAGGAAAAATGGCACAAAGGTTGGGTGAAACTCTGAGTATTAGTGAGTATGAATAGCCCATAGACTGAGACATGTCTTAATGAAGAATCATTATAAATCTGTTCTATTAATTAATTCTCAGGCCATTTTCATGCTGTGAATTGATGTTCCCCCCCCCCCAAGAACAGAAAACTGCTGAATCAGGCAATGAATCAGCCTCCCAAAATATCCTCCGGACTGGTGGTATTTTCCCCTTGTGTGCGGGTTTGGTGGGGTTTGTGTCATGCAGCGGCAGTAGCTCAGAACAGGGCCGTTATTGAGGAGCTCAGCCAAAAGAACTCTTGTGAAGTGGCAGGGTGTGGTGCGCAAAACCCTCAACAAACCTCCCTAAGGATTCTGGGTAATGGCCCACAAACACAAGAGCGAGAGAGAGAAATCAGGCATCCGAAAATAGCTCAATGTTTAAGGAAGTCTCTTGAGTTAGATCATGATGTACAGATAATTGCCAACATCAACGACAAATGATGAACGATATACTGAATCTGTCCATAACAATGCTCTGGCAACTATTTATAACATGGTAGCATCGCCAGTGAGTTCTTCATAGGCAAACATCATTCACTCACATAATTTACAAAACCTAGTGTACACTAATATTTCACAATATTACTGTTTTTACTGTATTTTTCATCAAATATTTGCAGCCTCGGTGAGCAGAAAAGTCTTCTTTCAAAAACATTTTTAAAAAATTTACCAACCCCAAACTGCTCAGGCCTCTCCTTCAATGCAAGTCAGTGGGATTTTTTTCTCTTCTCAAATCATGTAATTTGAAGTATCATTCATATCTGTAGCACAAACGATGCTGTGAAATGTAATAGTTGAGTTAGAGGGTTGTTCAAATCCTGAAGTGTCATTTCAAGGAAACTGCACAAATAATGACAGGTTTCTTCAACACTCATCTATTATTTGTCAGACAAACAGAAAGTTCCTCCCCAAACACATGCTAATGTTGCTTAAATAAATGATTGAATTAATTATTAACACTTCTCTTGTTTCATCACGTAACTAAAGACAGAACAGAGCTCCGTTTAAACATCCCCTCTTGGATCCAGATTTGGCAGAGACATTCTCTCATTTTTAATTCATGATAATACCCATTTTCATTTAAATATGCAGATTACTTTGAATAATTTAAGTTACAGGCCAAACTTTTTCCTAGATCTGATTCATATATCATCTCCGTCCTGGGTTTCCTCTCATCTTTAGGTGATTATCTCTGCGTGTCATCTGCGGCTGATGTGTCTTCATCACCTCACAGCTCTGTGAAGAGAAGAAACGGCGTGACTGATGTCAACATGACCTCGACCCCCGGCAGCGATCAGACGCAGTCCTCCACTAACATCACCAACAGCACTGAACCCACGCCGCACACAGACACAACTACAGGTACAACATTTACATCGTTTTTAATCTTGAGATTGATAGTGACTTCAAACCCCAGTCTGATGCTTTACACAAGTTCCTACACTGCTACAATGAGAGTTTATGTGGAAGCACTAGTCGCTGGGTTCAAAACATATTTAGTCTCTGAACTAATCATTTCTAGACATTTCTTTAACATCTTGTGCTGTGCTGAAAATTCTTTACCTAATTTGGTGGTCCCAATCAAGAATGATTGGCCTTTTAAAACTCTTGTTATGCTATAATATTACCAAATCTTGTATTCAATCTTTTTGTCAACTTGTTTTCTGCAACACACTTGAAATGAAAGTACACAAGGAAACACAGTGAACATTACAAGACTAAAACATTACATTACATCACATCCAGTAGGTCCAAAGTTACAAGCATGTAATCATGCTAAATGATGCATGACTTAAGAATCCAAACAGGAACTACGTCGTTATACGAAGAATAACTGGAAGCTGAAAATGATTTAGATGATATTACAGTTCAAATAACAGTTTTGCACTGAAGAATTAATACAAGCACTTTAAGAAAAACATTCTTATAAAACATAAAACTGTCTGTGTTTACTTCCATTATAAGTGTCTTACCGATTTACATTTTCGCTGAGTATGTCAGCATTAATGGGCAATATGTAGAATTTAAAGGAACAGTTCACCCACAAATGAAAATGTCCTGAAAATATACTCACTCTCAGGCCATCCAAGATGTAGGTGTGTTTGTTTCTTCATCTGAACAGATTTGGAAAATTGTAGCATTAAATCACTTGCTCACCAATGGATCCTATGCAGTGAATGGGTGCCGTCAGAATGAGTCTAATTACTTGTGGATTATTGTGATGTTTTTATCATCTGTTTGGACTCTTATTCTGACGGCACCCATTCACTGCAGAGGAAGTGATGGAATGCTGAATTACTCCAAATCCGTTCCCATGAAGAAACTATTTTGGATTGCCTGAGTGTGAGCAAATTTCTAATTTTGGGTGAACTACTCTTTTAACTTATATTGAACTAGTAAATGTTCCTTTAAAGAGGTCTGATGTTAACAAAATGAAGTCGTGTGCAACGCTGCGCCGTCCTCTTATATAATGAGCTGTAGCTCACACACAGGAAGATGTGTGTCTTGAGACAAATAAACAGACAAACTAAAAGGAGAGAGAGAGGAAAAATGGCACAAAGGTTGGGTGAAACTCTGAGTATTAGTGAGTATGAATAGCCCATAGACTGAGACATGTCTTAATGAAGAATCATTATAAATCTGTTCTATTAATTAATTCTCAGGCCATTTTCATGCTGTGAATTGATGTTCCCCCCCCCCCAAGAACAGAAAACTGCTGAATCAGGCAATGAATCAGCCTCCCAAAATATCCTCCGGACTGGTGGTATTTTCCCCTTGTGTGCGGGTTTGGTGGGGTTTGTGTCATGCAGCGGCAGTAGCTCAGAACAGGGCCGTTATTGAGGAGCTCAGCCAAAAGAACTCTTGTGAAGTGGCAGGGTGTGGTGCGCAAAACCCTCAACAAACCTCCCTAAGGATTCTGGGTAATGGCCCACAAACACAAGAGCGAGAGAGAGAAATCAGGCATCCGAAAATAGCTCAATGTTTAAGGAAGTCTCTTGAGTTAGATCATGATGTACAGATAATTGCCAACATCAACGACAAATGATGAACGATATACTGAATCTGTCCATAACAATGCTCTGGCAACTATTTATAACATGGTAGCATCGCCAGTGAGTTCTTCATAGGCAAACATCATTCACTCACATAATTTACAAAACCTAGTGTACACTAATATTTCACAATATTACTGTTTTTACTGTATTTTTCATCAAATATTTGCAGCCTCGGTGAGCAGAAAAGTCTTCTTTCAAAAACATTTTTAAAAAATTTACCAACCCCAAACTGCTCAGGCCTCTCCTTCAATGCAAGTCAGTGGGATTTTTTTCTCTTCTCAAATCATGTAATTTGAAGTATCATTCATATCTGTAGCACAAACGATGCTGTGAAATGTAATAGTTGAGTTAGAGGGTTGTTCAAATCCTGAAGTGTCATTTCAAGGAAACTGCACAAATAATGACAGGTTTCTTCAACACTCATCTATTATTTGTCAGACAAACAGAAAGTTCCTCCCCAAACACATGCTAATGTTGCTTAAATAAATGATTGAATTAATTATTAACACTTCTCTTGTTTCATCACGTAACTAAAGACAGAACAGAGCTCCGTTTAAACATCCCCTCTTGGATCCAGATTTGGCAGAGACATTCTCTCATTTTTAATTCATGATAATACCCATTTTCATTTAAATATGCAGATTACTTTGAATAATTTAAGTTACAGGCCAAACTTTTTCCTAGATCTGATTCATATATCATCTCCGTCCTGGGTTTCCTCTCATCTTTAGGTGATTATCTCTGCGTGTCATCTGCGGCTGATGTGTCTTCATCACCTCACAGCTCTGTGAAGAGAAGAAACGGCGTGACTGATGTCAACATGACCTCGACCCCCGGCAGCGATCAGACGCAGTCCTCCACTAACATCACCAACAGCACTGAACCCACGCCGCACACAGACACAACTACAGGTACAACATTTACATCGTTTTTAATCTTGAGATTGATAGTGACTTCAAACCCCAGTCTGATGCTTTACACAAGTTCCTACACTGCTACAATGAGAGTTTATGTGGAAGCACTAGTCGCTGGGTTCAAAACATATTTAGTCTCTGAACTAATCATTTCTAGACATTTCTTTAACATCTTGTGCTGTGCTGAAAATTCTTTACCTAATTTGGTGGTCCCAATCAAGAATGATTGGCCTTTTAAAACTCTTGTTATGCTATAATATTACCAAATCTTGTATTCAATCTTTTTGTCAACTTGTTTTCTATCAATTAGCACAGGTTTTGTTTTTCTTTTTGGAATTGATTGATTGTACGCCTCATTCATCTGAGCTCATGCACCTCAGATTTTGAGTGATTATTTCCAGAAATTATTCACAAATAATGCTTTTTTCACTTAAAAGCTGATGCGCTAATCACCAGTGTTTATAACAGTTCTCATCTGTTTAATAAAAATAGAGGAAAATAGAAATACAAAAGGGAAAAAGAAAAATGACTAATGCACAAAACAAAATGACTAAACTAAAACTAAAAGAAAAAGAAAATATTAAAAATATATATTTATAGTTTTTTCAGTTTTAATTTATTATTATTTATATACCATATGGATATTTATTGGATATTTATTTTAAATAAAATATGAATAAATACTATAATAACACTCCATCTACACATATTTTCTACTAATTTCAAACTAACGTTATTGAGACTACCATAGAGGAATATTGAATCCAAAAACATTTACTTACATTGTGACGTTCCATACACGCATACATTTCTTTCTTCTGTGAAACACAAAAGCAGATGTCAGAACACACCAATATCTAAGTCATCATTGACTGAAAACTCTCAAATCACATTCCCGCTGCTTCATAATCAAAAACTGAAGGAAAGACAGATTTCAACATGTTTAGAACAACATGAGAGTGAGCGAACGAAAGACGTTTCATCACTGGGTGAATTCTTCCAGAAAACACTTAACTAGCACCCCGACCTGACAGAACAGATCATTTATACAACAATCAGTGGCTCTGAACTGCGACAGCAATGTAAAATGACATAAAGAAAAGAAATGCAGTGTGAGATCTGACGTGAGAGTGTGAGAGTTTGAATCCTCATGACACACACACACACACACACACACACACACACACAGCTCAGTGCAGTTCACACACGCACACGTCTCGCATGCACAGACACGCGCTGTCACACAGAACAACTCTGGCTCACTCCACAAACCATCAAAGATCTCACCAACACCATTAAAAATCATCCTGCTGCATTTCTGCAGAGACAGCTTCTTCTTTTTTAAGGGAGTGTATTTTATGGATAATGAATTACAATCTGAATTCAGCTTTGTTTAACCTTAGTAAAGAAAAGAAAAAGTGTTCTTGACTGTATCCATCCTATTCTGTTATAAAATGCCATGGTTCCAAGCATCTTATGATGTTCAATTGCTTTAAATTGTAGAAAATATTCATTCCAACAATGAAGCAAGAGAGAAACAGACTGCATTTAGCCTAAAGTAGCCCTGTTGAGTTCAGTTAATATGTTTAAGATTAAATCTGTATAGTGTAGACTTTGGTGCCATACAGAAGACAAAAAATAAATAAATAAAATAAAAATAGAGGAAAATAGAAATACAAAAGGGAAAAAGAAAAATGACTAATGCACAAAACAAAATGACTAAACTAAAACTAAAAGAAAAAGAAAATATTAAAAATATATATTTATAGTTTTTTCAGTTTTAATTTATTATTATTTATATACCATATGGATATTTATTGGATATTTATTTTAAATAAAATATGAATAAATACTATAATAACACTCCATCTACACATATTTTCTACTAATTTCAAACTAACGTTATTGAGACTACCATAGAGGAATATTGAATCCAAAAACATTTACTTACATTGTGACGTTCCATACACGCATACATTTCTTTCTTCTGTGAAACACAAAAGCAGATGTCAGAACACACCAATATCTAAGTCATCATTGACTGAAAACTCTCAAATCACATTCCCGCTGCTTCATAATCAAAAACTGAAGGAAAGACAGATTTCAACATGTTTAGAACAACATGAGAGTGAGCGAACGAAAGACGTTTCATCACTGGGTGAATTCTTCCAGAAAACACTTAACTAGCACCCCGACCTGACAGAACAGATCATTTATACAACAATCAGTGGCTCTGAACTGCGACAGCAATGTAAAATGACATAAAGAAAAGAAATGCAGTGTGAGATCTGACGTGAGAGTGTGAGAGTTTGAATCCTCATGACACACACACACACACACACACACACACAGCTCAGTGCTGTTCACACACACACACACGTCTCATGCACAGACACACGCTGTCACACTGAACGACTGGGATTCACAAACCATCAAAGATCACCATTAAAATCATCCTCAAATACTCTGTCTGGCTGCCTTCAGAGGAAATACTAACTTACTGAATACTGTACTGTATACATTAAATGTTAAACTGTTTGGCACAATATGCACTTTTACATATAGTATGCTACATTGTTGTCTCATGATCGCATTTAATGGCATACTGGGTATATCCATCTTAGAAATAAATGCAATTATTTTATATTTTTTTATGTAAGATGTGTCTCCTGCCCAACCAAGGTTGCGTTTATTTGATTAAATATACAGTAAAAACAGTGATGTTGTGAAACATTATTACAATTTAAAATAACTGTTTTCTATTTGAATATATTTTGATAGGTAATTTATTCCTGTGATCAAAGCTGAATTTTCAGCATCATTATCCAGTCTGCAGTGTCACATGATTCTTCAGAAATCATTCTAATATGTTGATTTGCTGCTCAAGAAACATTTCTGATTATTATCAATGTTGAAAACTGTTGTTCTGCTTCATATTGAATGGAAACCGGGATACATTTTATTTTCCAGGATTCCTTGATGAATATAGAGTTGAAAAGAACAGTATTTATTTGTCAAATAAATCTTTGTGTAACATAAAAAATTTATTTACTGTCACTTTTGATCAATGTAATGCATCCTTGCTGAATAAAAGTTTTAACTTTTTACAAAAAAAAATTATTACTGACCCCAAACTCTTGAATGGTAGTGTACATACTGCAGAAATATAGTATGCTAGGTAGTGCCTCTCTTTTCTCTTTCTCTCTAGAGAATCCACACATACATGGCAAACGTTCAGGGTGATTTCACATTCAGATCATTGTTTCCTTTTACTCTCTGTAAAACAACCAATCCGAGTGCTTCCTCATACCTGGTTTATGAACACATGCACAAACACATGCAAAACACTATTTACATGTTCCTGTCGTTCCACAGAAAAAGGAAATTGTTGTAATTGTCGAAGTGAAAGAATGAACGACTTACTCAAGCCCTGTTATTTTTCATCCCCTTCCCCTATCAGTCACTTTTCACAATCCAACCACTTACTGATGGATTGAATCAAGTCTTACTCTGCTATTTGTCTTACTGAATATCACATTTCAGGAGTTAAAATGAGTTGGAAATGCGTTTAGTCTTTAACAAAGGCCTCACCAACCTAAGAAACAGCGTTGAACATGTAGCCGCCCGTGTGCTCGTGAATTTAACTGAAAGAGCCCAAAGCTGTGCTTCATCTGTCATTTATTACTAGTGTTGTGCAGCTCAATGTTTTTCAGTGATTCACAACATTTCTGTCAGCAGATCTGTCATATGCTGCCATGTTTGTGGAATTATGCAGAGGTCACCATGGAAACATGGTAATAATTGCAGTTTTGCCCACCAGAGATGTTGTGCACCCTTTTTTTTTATTTTTTAAAGTGGGCACCAGTGGCAGTTCTGGCTTACTTTGTGCAATATGCAAGATAAGACATGACCAAAAGAAGAAGAAAAACAAACACTTTTTAACAACCCATTAGTTCTTTTTGGAAGTAAACGCTGTACACTACTGTTCAAATGTTTCAGCAAGATTTTTTAATACATTAAATAATAAATGAATACTTTTATTCAGCAAGGATGCATCAAATTGATCAAAAGTGACAGTAAAGGTATTTATAATCTTAAAGATTTATATCTCAAATAAATAGAAAATGTTGTACACTTAATATATTTAATGTAAATATACATTTATTTTGCTTCATCTGTCATTTATTACTAGTGTTGTGCAGCTCAATGTTTTTCAGTGATTCACAACATTTCTGTCAGCAGATCTGTCATATGCTGCCGTGTTTGTGGAATTATGCAGAGGTCACCATGGAAACATGGTAATAATTGCAGTTTTGCCCACCAGAGATGTTGTGCACCCTTTTTTTTAATTTTTTAAAGTGGGCACCAGTGGCAGTTCTGGCTTACTTTGTGCAATATGCAAGATAAGACATGACCAAAAGAAGAAGAAAAAAAAACACTTTTTAACAACCCATTAGTTCTTTTTGGAAGTAAACGCTGTACACTACTGTTCAAATGTTTCAGCAAGATTTTTTAATACATTAAATAATAAATGAATACTTTTATTCAGCAAGGATGCATCAAATTGATCAAAAGTGACAGTAAAGGTATTTATAATCTTAAAGATTTATATCTCAAATAAATAGAAAATTTTGTACACTTAATATATTTAATGTAAATATACATTTATTTGAAATAGAAATCTTTTGTAACATTGTAAATGTTTTTTACTGTCACTTTTGATCGATTTAATGCATATTTAATATGCATATGTACTTGATAACTATAAATGTTAAGTGTATTAAAATGTTATTTATACTGTGTATATATATATATGTGTGTGTGTGTGTGTGTGTGCATATTAAATATGCATTAAATTGATCAAAAATGACAGTAAAAACATTTACAATGTTACAAAAGATTTCAAATAAACGCTGATATTTTGAGCTTTCTAGACATTTAAGAATCCAGAAAAGAAAAAGAAAAAAACGTTTTCATGGTTTACACAAACATACAAAGCAGCACAACTGTTTTCAACACTGAAAATAATATGAAATGTTTCTTGGGCAGCAAATCAGCATATTAGAATGATTTCTGAAGGATCATGTGACACTGAAGACTGGAGTAATGATGCTGAAAATTCAGCTTTGATATATTTCATTATAAAATGTATTACTTTAAATTGTAATAATATTTCACAATATTACTGTTTTTACTGTATTTTTAAACAAATAAATGCAGCTTTGATGAGCATAAAAAATGTAATTAAAAACATTTTTTTTTTAAATAGAATAAATCCCAAAATAAAGCAAGCAAAATGATTATAATTGTGCACTTTTTTTTGGAAGTTGCACTCAAATCTGAGCGAGCACAATACTTTGTTTGCTGATTGAACACCCTCGTGTTTGTTTCATCTTTAGTAATGTTGGTGAACTCATCTGCCCCGGCCGAGAACGTCAGTTTCTCTGGGAACGTCACAGACAGTCGAAACGTCTCTGATGTGTCACCTGTGAATAATGAGACCGCAGTTACCACGGTAAAACCTACCACACTCCCACCATCAACGACCCACGAGCCCACAAGCAGCATCCACGTCAGCACGCTCCACCCGACATCCACCGCCGCAGGAACCAGCGGAGCTCCAGAATCAACGAGCGCTCGCAGCAGACGGAGACCCACCACGCAGATGACCGCGAGCAGCAGTCCCGTCCAGGCCAAAGCCCACGCCGACACCCCCTCGGCTCTGAACGTCGGAGACCACGGTACGTGAAAACAGAGCCTAAAACAGCTTTGCGTCAGTCTTCTTGATCAGTATTTCATCCTGTTTCCAGTCAGAAATACATCTTTGAGACAAAATAATATCCTAGCTTTTTTAGCAAATGTTATGTTTTTACACTTAATATATTCAGAACTCACAATAACTACATAAATATATATATTATAACATTAAATATATGTAATATAAAACTATATTAAATATAGACTATATTTAAATACACTGTACTTTTCTGTATGAATTCTGAATTCTTATTAAATATATATTACACTTTATATATTTACATATACTTAAATATAATGTATTTAATAAACTATATTTATCAGTAATTTCCAGTATAATTCTGAATTCTTAATATTAAATACATATTACACTTATTTAAATACACTTACATACAATTATGTATTTAATTATTATAAAGTATATTTATCAGTGCGTTTCCATATGAATTCTGAATTCTTAATATGAAATACATGTTGCACTTAAAATATTTAAAGACACTTACAAATAATGTATTTAATTATTATAAACTATATTTATCAGTGCTTTTCAAGTTCCTAATACTAAATATATATTACACTTAAATATATTTAATAAACAAACAATATTTATCAGTACTTTTCAGTATGAATTCTTATTATTAAATACATATGACACTTAATATATTTCAATAAATACACTTACAAATAATGTATTTAATTATTATAAACTATATTTATCAGTACCTATCAGTATAAATTTTGAATTCTTAATATTAAATATATATTACACTTAATATATTTATTACATTTAAGTATACTTAGAATGTTTTTAATTATTATAAACTATCAGTATTTTTCTGCATTCTCAATATTAAATATACTGTATATTACACTATATATTTATATTTTATAAATTTAAGTATACTTAAAGTATATAAATGTTTTAGTTATTATTAGCTATTTATCAGTACTTTTCTGAATTCTTAATATTAAATATATATTAGACTTAATATATTGAATACAGTTAAATATAATGCATTTAATAAACTACATTTATCAGCACTTTTCATTATAAATTCTGTATTTAATTACTCTCACTATCTTTGTTTTATTTTTTCACTCATCTTACTGCATTGCATTCTGGGATTGCCTTCTCCATGAATGATTGCAGGTATTTTAGAAGGCAGCATAATTATATTGCCTACATTTTGAACCTTAAAATGCAGCCTACAATTATAAAACAGAGCTCATTTATTTTATTGTCCAGTATTTTACTGTATTTTTGATCAAATAAATGCAGCCTTGGGGAGCATAACATTACGGTTGTGTAACTATGGCCTGACTGATGTTGACTCTGTTCGTGAGGACAAAAGCATGACTTCCTGCTGGAAACCTCTGCTGCTGGTTTTGGCAGAAAGCCTCAATGCGGACATGATTTATTGCTGCGATATCAAACATCACATGATGATTATTCATTTGGTTGACGCTTTTGTGAGCAAATGCAGCTGCACACACAAACATTTACAGTGCACATCTGCATTTTTGTTTACCATAATGGCGAGCAGAACAAATCCTCGTAAAGTGGATATAAATAGAGGTCAAACAGCAGAGATGCTGATAACGGTGCGTGTGGAAAACAAGAGCATCATTATATGTGCAGAGGAACGTCTTCACGCTGACACAACCGGAGAACAGACGCATCTTTGTGGATTCGCCAGGCTTTTACGTCACTGCAGAAACGCTCAAGCACACAAACACACACTATTTACATATTTTCCAGAAAGTGCGCTAGTGTTATTCCCTCTCTCTTTCTCTGCTTTGGTTCTTCTAGACAATAGCAAAGCGTCCACTGACCCGCTGCTGGCTGGACTGGTGTCGGCGTTCGTCATCGTCGCTGCCATCGTGTCCGTCCTCATATTCCTCAAATTCAGACACACAAATGACGGCCCAGAGTTTCGCAGACTTCAGGATCTCCCCATGGTGAGATTACGCTTTCCACAATTCATTGAATAAAAACAACACACATACTACCTAAACACATTGCTAAGCAATAGCCATGTGACAAACATTCAAAGCTGACAGGAAAAGTATCATTCTCAGGAAACCGTTTAGATCCCATTTATGCAAATGATCTGCTATTTTTACATTTCATTTAAAAAGGCTTATATTTTCCCATTTTAGGCTCAAACTACCAGGGCCATAACTGCCATAATCATTAGAGGGACTACTATGCTATCAATTAAAAAATTAATCATTTTTATGATGTTACTCCCTTAAATATATCAGAAATGAACACAGTAAAAAAAAAAAGGAAACATTCTGCTTTTTTCAGGGAAAAAAAACATAGTACATGCATAATACTGTAATTTAAAGAAAAAAAGTGGGTAATTTTTCTATATAATGCACAAATTAATGCAAATGCTATAATATTTTTAAAAATCTTTTAATTTAAAGGGTTATTGTTGAACTCAGTATGCCACTACTGATTTCTGCAAATATTATATTTTTTTAACATTTAATGCCATTTCAAAATATAAGTATTTTAAAAATAAATAAATACATACATACATACATACATATACAGTAAATAGTACATGCATGGTATTCTAATTTCAAAAGAAAAATGCAGGTGATTTTTTTGCATTCTGTATAACTCAATGTATGTTTATTGCAATGTTTTTAGTTTAAAATTATTTAATTGGGGGGTGGGGGCAACTATGATACTGATAAAAAAAAAAAA